TCGTCTTCCATACAATTCTTCCCACATCTCATTCCTTTCTCTATAGGTGTTTGGCCCATAAACATTGGTTAGAACCCAGGTAAATCCACCACCCACATTCTTGACCTTCAAAGGCACAGAGAATCTCTCTATTAGCTCCTCCACTGATTCTACAACATCCTCCATATTGCTACTAGACCTCCAGAGGCTCACCAAGAAGGGTCGAGGTCCAACAAACTCCTCTTAATCTCCATACACTTCTGAGCCACCTTTTATCCATTTCTGCCAACTTGGTTTCCAGTTTCTCTCTTCTTAGCAAGTCTTTAATAACCCTTCTCTTTCTTTCTTTCACTTCCCAATCCTCTCACATTCCAGTAGATGATTTTCATTGAACACTTTTTTTCAAAAAAACCCTTCCCAATAAACCCATCTTACAGCAGAGTCTTTCTTCTTTCCTCTCCCCCACTAAATTCAATGTCACCCTCAATATCTGAAATCAACCTCTCCACTTCTGATCTCTTCTTCTTCTTCCTTTTCTTATTACCCTCGGTCTTCCTAGATGATGCATTAGCTTTAGCCTCCTCTCCCCCCAACTTGAAGCTTCTGTAGTAGTCCCTCTCTTGAGAAGTTACTACTTTCTTCCTTTGATCCAATTCCTCCTTCTCTTTGTACTCCTCCAACAGTGCACAGATCATCTCCCATATTCTCTCTAATTCCTCGTCTCTCTCCAGGTGCCACTTCTCCCTCTCTCAGTTCACTCTCAGGATTGTCAATCTCTCTTCTCTTCCCCCCAACTAGAATTTCTCCTCGGGATGCTGGAGTATCTGTTACAAGCACAGAAGGCACATTAGTATCCAAAACCGAATGGACATTCATACCTGTGTTATTGGGGACCAATGGGCCATCATTCAAGGGAGGGGGCTGCGCATAAGGAGAGAGGCCTAAATCTGCTCTCTGTGATTGAGCATGCCTTAGAGAGTTTATAGTAGGAGTCAATACCCTGTGGGCTTTTACAGTTAAACTATTCTTCCTGTTCTGTCCTTCTGGTACTACGTTACAGACCAAAGTGTTAGGATTTTTTCTTACCAACCTCATATCCTGATTTTCCTGAGCTACTGGACTGACTTCCCTTGCGAGTGCAGGCAGCACCTGAACCGCAGCTTTTGTTGGACGATCCAAAACATTTGCAGCATCTTCTTCAACTCTTTGTGAATCCTCTTCTTCCTTGTTCTCTTGAAAAGGTACCTCTGTACCCAAACTGTCTTCATCAAAAACGTTCCTCGAGCTGCTCAAATCAATGCTCCCTAGACTTACTGTATTTTCTGAATCAGTATCACTTGAAACTTTTTCCTCAGAGCACTCATAGTGATTCCGCTCCTCAAGATCACTTTGCCTAATACTCCTCGGATTGCGTTTTTCCGGTGACATTCTGTTTGATTTTTCTGACGCAACCTAGTGTAAGGAGTACCCAGGACTAGCAAACTTCGCTCTGTGGTTTTCGGGCCATTGTGCTCAACGAAGAAGAAGATAGATGGTGTTTACCATCTATCGACTCCACCCCCTGGTCACGTGACCTTTTAAAACCCTTTTGGGCCCCTTCGATGGGCTGGTAATGTTTGGCCATCTACTGTTTTAATACGTTGTTCCCCCTGTCCCTTAGATAGGCCCACAATGATCAGCCCACTATTAATTTTGTCCCTCTTTTTATTATTTGGCTCAAATTTTTGAACATGGGGCCCACCTCTTTGAGAAGGCCCGTTCACAATTATCTGGCCTGGATTGGGTAGAGATTGGGCCCTATTCATTTTAAAGGGACCCAACGTTTCAGCTCCCCTACTCTCTGCCCCCTTCTCACATTGGAAGCTCGAACATTGTTTGATGTATTATAACATGGTTATTGTATGATATCTACATGTTCTAGATTCTCGGTGTTGTTGATTGTAATGTTTCTCTTCATATAAACGATTAAAATGTGCATTTCTTATGTGTTTATAACTTATTCATAGTTCTTATATTTAGTGTTTTTTATGTATTCGTGGGATTTGTAAGAGTTTGCCTTGTGTATCCAAGCATATTCAATATCTTTCCACCAAATTCATGTGTATCCATATTTGTATCCAAGCTATCCTAATATGATACATAATATTGATATTTTGAATCTTGCATCAACTAGGCAATAAGGTGCTTGCCTAGGCGACAAAAATGGCAAGGCAGGTGCCTTTTATAGTATCACTCATAATGCTACATCTTACTAATATGCATGTTAATACATTCTATTTTATACAACATATAATTTTTACTTTGTTTTAAAGTATAATGATATAGTTAGGGCATAATAATAGAATTTTTAAGGGAAAGAGAAGAAGATAGAGATTAATGTGTTAATTACGTAAATTGAGAGGCTTATTATATTTTGGGATTGCATCAACAAAGATTTTTTTTTTTGGAGTCTACTATTAACATATAAGTCGCCATTGGAATAGCATCTTATGGCATACTGATTTCGTAGTATAATATTTTTTGTATGGCTCATACACCTATACAAATATACTATTAATACAGTTCATTTCGTCTTTCAGAAAAAGTATAAATGATATAGGGTGGAAGAAGGCTTAGACAATGATGATAATGACTATTGAAATTTAAAAGATCCAAGGGATTTTGAGAAGAGGAAAAGAAAGAAAAAAGTACGAGAGTTTTTTTTCCCCAATCTCTTTCTCGCATTAAATAAAATAGTGACTATTTTTGTTCTTTTCTCTTTATTTTCTCTGTCTTAAATTTTGTCTTCTTCTAAATACTAATTATATTAGTATTGCTTTTGAAAGTATGAAATTGGTATATTTGAAATAGTATTGTCCTTGATATGATGATTTGTCATGTTTTGAGAGAGAATTTGATGTTGTTAATAAAGAGAATTACTATTTTTTTCAATTAATATGTATGCTGAATGATATATAAAACTATGAAGCTAGCAAAAACTTAGTATATCATTTTATTAAATTCTAATTGTCTGGGCATAGGCTAGGCTCCTACTGTTTCCCCTAATCACCTAAACTCCTTGACAACTATGGGCACCATATTGGTGAAACTAAGGCACTTGCATCTAGGTTGAATTGATAATTCAATTAGATTCTTTGATTGGCTAATGACTTGAGTGATTGTTTCTTGTAAGATAAGGTGGGCAGAGCCAGATTCGAAGTATTGACATCTCGATGTGCAAATTTTGTGTATTGAGGGTTTCCTTAAGTTGAAAATCAACCTTTTTTATTTATTTGGTCTGGCACTTTGTTAGTGCATGTCTTATCATGTAATAATATATAAAAAGAACAAAATCAAATAACTCTTGAGTTGAGCATATTGATACTCTGAACCTTGGGCAGAGCTGACTTTATTTGGATGGTATTTTTATCATTTCAGTACTGCAGGAACGAAGTCAACAACTTGGTATCCACTCCCCTGAAACACAGCCTAGTTATTTTTTTTTTTTTGATAGTTTACAGCCTAGTCTTTTACTCTTTTTTGCTTTACCTATTTCCTTTTTGTGGCCCTTATGTAGAACAAGACTCATGATGTTTGTTATACTGCAAATCTGGTGTATAGAGGTCATGTCAAATCAAATTCATTAATTCCTTGCGAAAGTTTCTACTATGATAGGGTGGACTTCTAAACTGAAAAATCTTTGCCATATATATATATATATCAATTATCACAAGAAAAATTGACTCCTAAACTAAACAATCTTTTAAATCAAGTAAAACTTTCATCTTCTCGTAGCAGCAGTGAGTGATCAGATTGGGTTCTGCAGCTTCCAGATGATCAAGTGAACAAAGCTGATCTGTTCGAGAATTTTTGGAGTATTCTTGAGTTGCATCCTTGTAATGAAGAATATTTTCAGTTTTGGACAATGAATAAAAACTCAATAAAAAGGTGAATCCTTAATTATATTCTTGGATGAATTATTGTTAAACGTGAGAGATCTTTGTGGGCCCTGTAGCACTAGTGATTGCTCTTTGTGGGCCATACATCATAGCATTGAGCTTGTTTTACATGAGCTTTCAAAAACTTGTTAGCTCGCTCATCAGACCCATTCAATAACTCACGAGCCATACAGGCTTTAGACAAAATCGTGATTTATTGGTTCATTTTTCTTATCCTTGAGCTTTGCACCATTTCTCTTTATGATTCAGAAGACTGACATTCTAAAGAAAGTTTTGGTATCTTGGCTACTACTAGTACATGTTTTTATTAAATCACGATTTGGGGAATTATGAAATTACAACCCTGATTTTATTGGTTCTGTCTGTGCTTCTTGTTCATGCATTGGCATATGCAAGTGCATATATAGGAGTTAAATTTTGATTTGTTATTCATTAAACATTAGTAAGGGCTTTCACCCAATGTCATTCCTAGCTGTTGGGGTCGTTGGGAGGTAGGGATGTCGATGAGTTGGGTTAAACGGTAAACCCGGCTTGACCCGGCTCGGCCCTATAGGGTTGGGTTAGGGTCAAGCGTATTTGGATTTAAGGTTGGGTTACAGGCTAGGGTTTTGATTCTTCGTCCTGAGTCGGGTTTGGGTTTTGGCTGACCCACCCCACTGGGTCATGATACCCTACATATATACACAATTCTTGTAACTTCTTGACTTATAACTCTATATCCTTGGAGTCTATAAAACAATTCCTTAAATTAATGGATTTTAGGTTTTCAAAACGTGTTAAAAAAGTATAATTGAAACACTACATGTCGTGTCAGGCTGGTATTTGGTTAGACTCTATAGGGTTGGGGTGGGTTCGGAAATTATGCATTTTAAGCCTGGGTGGTTGGGCTGGAGGGTCGGGTTAGGGTTGAGGCAAACCCATTCTGAACCCTACCCGTTGACATCCCACCAGATACTGACCTAAACTGTATTTTTGAAAACGTGAGATTTTTCCATTATTGCACCATGCAATGGTCCCTTTTCACTAAAAATCGATCATATAATTATTTAACCATCTAAATTTTGATTTTCATTTCTGCAACAGAGGCATATAAGAATGGACAGTTGCAGGAGTTGTTGGAGAAGGTGATGTGCTCTTGATGATTGTCAATCCCTCCAAAATGGGTCAAGCATTTCCAGTTTAGAGAAGTTTTATTTGTACCATTGCCAGTCATCACCAAGAAGTTCTAAAAAAACTATGAAAAAAGAGAAGCAAAAGAAACATATCATTTGTCTATATGGATGCGCATCAACTCTTTTATGTGCTTCTTTATCCCAGGCCTCGGTGATTCTTTATTTGATTATCACACTTATAGATAAATTTGCAGAAGCGGGAACCACTTTGACTGTTATATTTTGGTGCCCCCAAGTTCTGATGTAGGTGATTTTTATTGAAATGGTTGTTGCAGATCAATCTTATCTCAACATTTTTTATATGCAAATTGCCGTTTCAACTTTAAACTCATACTCGTGTCATGGTGTCTTTTTTCTTTGTATTTGAAATTCTGGGTTATCAGAGAATTGGTGATGGTTTATGGCTTACATTCATAAAACTTATTTGAGATGTTTATTTTTGTTTTTTTGATCATTTATTTGAGATGCCATCTTATCTACAAACAGAATACCCTGCCTTGTACTTCAACCCCTTACCAGAGCAATTCTCTTGGGAAGAAGAGCTATAGCTTGCCTAATTTCTAGTTTTTCATATAGAGATATTTAAATAAGCTTACCCTTATATTATTTTTGGTGTACAAGAGAAAAAAAATCAAAAATCAAATTATTTGAACACGTTTTTGGGTTTATCAGCCTGAAATTGTTGGATATGGTGGTGAAATGTAAAATTAGCAATATCTCCAAGTCCTCGTAGCTGTAGGACGGGCCATCATAAATTCATAATTAGGGGTGCTCACAGTTCGGTTAAACCGAATTGTGGGGTATTTTTTCAAACCGAATCGGTGCAACCGGTTAACTAGTTCATCGGTTAACCGATTGGTTAATCATGATTCAGTTTTTTTATACACTTAAAATAAAAAAAAAAGGAAAACTAAAACTGGTACCAGACTGCTGGTGCCGTTGGTTGTATTCGGTGCTGGTGGTTGCTGGCGAGTGTCACCTGAATGAGAGCCTGAGAGGTGGTGCGGCTGGTGCCTGGAGATGCAGAGAAGAGAGGTGAGAGAGAAGAGAGAATTGAGAGAGAGAGAGTTGGTGCTTGCTTGCCAGACTAGTTGGACACTTGGACCGTTGGTGCTTGCTTATCAGCGAGGCGGTGACTATCGTTGCCGTTGGAGTGGAAGAGAACTGAGAGAGCGAGAGAAGAACAAATTGAGAACTGAGAAGAAGAAAACAGAGAGAAGAAAAAACTGGGAGAAATAGAGAAAGAGAAAAAGAGTTGGCAGTCTGAGAAAAGACAAAAGAGGAGTAGAGGACTGGTAGTCTGGCACTTTGGCAGAGGCAGATTGCCGAACTTTCAATTGAAACTTGAAAGGTTTAAATTTCAAAAAAAAAAAAAAAATGAAATTTGAACCTTAAGGCTGAAAGTCTCTTAAGACTCGTAGACTGCAACTAATAAATTGGTACGGTAGGCGAGGTGTCGAATAAATTGAAATCTTTTATTCGATTTTCAAAAAAACTAAAAAATATAATATAATATTTATATAAATATATATTATTGTATATATCGGTTGGTTCGGTTAATTGCCGGTTTTTTTGAATGGTTAATCGAAACTGAACCGAAACTATTGATTTTTTAAGAATATCGAATCAAAGCTGAATCAATTGGTTCAATTAACTGATTTTTCGGTTAGGTTTTGGTCGGTTTTTCGGTTTTTTTGCTCACCCCTATTCATAATGAAATCTACCTAAATTCTTTCGAAGAAATGCTGTTAAATGTCACAAAAATGCGCTATCTTTTTTCGGTATTTTTAAAGCAATACATTAATGACTCGAATACAAAAAAAAGGGTAAATTACAAAGAACCCCTGTACTAGGGGTTTGTGACAAAGACCCCCTGTACTTTGTTTTGTGACAAAGACCCCTCATACTATGACCATGAGACAAAAACCCCCTTTTGATAGCTTTGATCTGCTATTATAATATCTTTTAATTCTCATACTACCCTTATAATAACTATTCGGACAATTGAGAGAAAAATACTGTTCATTTTCCCTGAACTCATGATACACAGATTATAATCCCTTCTACCTCAAATTCTTTTACATTTTCTCTCTCTTCCTCTCTCTCTCCCTAGATTCCTCTTCTTCCCCTTTCCCTTACCCTTTCTCTCTTTCCCTTTCTTTTTCCCGCTTTCCTCTGTTTTCTGTTACTCTCGGTCATAACCGCCACAACTCATTGTCCGGATGCTCAGCCGACAAGCACACAAGGCCACTTTTGTATTTTATAATATAATACATAGTCGCTCTTTACTCTCTCTTTTTCTCTTTCCCCACACGGCTAAATCCAGATTTTGCAATAGAGAAGCTGCGACATACCAACTAACTCTTCCCCTAAATAAAGTCACCACAGTTCAGTTACTTTGATGCTAAGGCACTAATCAATTTTGAATTTCTCGCGACTTGAGTCAGAATTCTGGTCGTGTTTTCGTCGTTTTCCGGAATGGGTGTACCTAGTGATAACGTGGTATTGATTTAGAAGGGGAAGCAGCCTGGTGAACCATGTGTGATCACCGTGAATTGTCCAGACAAGACTGGCCTCGGATGCGATTTTTGCAGAACCAACCTCGAATTCGGGCTTTGCATTACTAGAGGAGGTTAGGGCGATCCTTGGTTGCAGTTACTGTTTTTTAGTCTCGATTTTGTTAGTTGTTGTCTTGGTTTCTCTCCTGTTGCTTTCGGGTGTATGCCCATTTTTGACTCGAGGGTCGAATTTCTGATTTTTTATTTTTGGTCTATCATTTCAACCATTTTTTTCTTGCTATTTATATACACTCAATTTAGTAACTGATGAAGGGTGATTTGGCACGACCTAGCAAGAAATCGTGGGCACGATCTGATCGAGGGGTGACAACTCAGATAGGCGAACCCAGTTAGCAATATTTGAAGCTCGGGTATTCAGTCTCCTTGGCTCAAAATTCACCTCAGTGTAGAGACACCTCGACACACTCAATCCAGTTCGGGACTAAAGAATCAAAGTTTTAGCTCGTAGCTAATGAGCTGAAATGCTACATAACCGACTCCAAAGGCCTCCCGAATTTCCCGAGATCACGATGAAAACTCATCCCGGCTCCGCCTGAGTCGGAGGTAAACGATAAACCTTATCAACATATTACTCTCCTTCAAAAACGGAACAAACCTTATCTCCACAGCCCGGAGATCCCAGAGCTCTTTCGTAAGGCCCACAACTACTCCAGTATATAAAGACATTAAGCCTCAAGGCAGAGGTATGCGTGATTATTCTACTCAATAGCACTTAAGCTCTTAAGCATTCAACTTGCATTCACAACATAAGTACTGACTTAAGCATCAGAGCGACCTTGCCAGGTTAACTACCCTGGGTTCTCTAATTCACTATTTTGCAGACTGGTCCAGCTCACCATCCAGTTGGAGTTCGAATCGCCTTCCAACTAGGAGTAGCTAGATCACGCACCATCAATTGGCGCCATCTATGGGAATTCGATCGAAAGGTCATCCCTATTTCTTTACAGTTTCAAACTCAATCGCAACAGCAATGGCATCTTCCAGCCACACCAGAAAAAACATCGAGATGAATGTCACCGGGGGGCAAGACCAGCAATCAACCTTCCCCCAAGGTCCTACGGTATGCATCAGCCAGTTTACTATTCCGCTCACAGTGTCCGGAGTCCCGTCACTGTCCGCACCACAAAGCACCACGCAAGTGAGCGTCCCACTTCCCCTAGTGGTAGGATTGACTTTCTCTGAACCATTCGTGGTCCCCCCCGGAATCGGTCATTCCAGTTCCATGACCTCGTTCAGTGCGTCCGGGCAATTCAGATCCAGATGCACCAGGTCCAACAGTTCTAGCAGTACCAACAGTTCTATCTGTACTAGCAATATCAGCACCAATTCCCTCCATTGCAGTCGAATCAGCAGCCGGTTTCACCCTAGCACCCAGGGCTCTGTTAGGGCCAGAACCCGAATCGGCTTGGAACCAACCAGAACATCAGTCGATCTCCTCATCAGGGTGAAGAGACCTCGCAAGTACCGATCCATCTCAGGAGTTAGGTTTCGCCCCGTGGGAGGAGAGATGGTCAGCACACTCCTCCAGTCTCGCAAGGAAATCTCATAAACAAGTCTGGGGATAGTTAGCCCTACATGACCAATCCGCCTCGGTACTCCCAACAAGAAAATGACAGCTTGTGAACAAATAATAACTAGCTCGGAGTTCAAGGTGCGAACTCGAAACAAGACCTCTTCGTCCCTTGCGATAGCCAGATCATGCACCATCAATAAGAGAGACAATTTGTTGTCTTGCTTGATTAAATTCTCTTTCCCTATCAATAAGTTTCATTTGACTTGGTTAAAGTTGTGTTATTTTCCTTTGTGGGGAATGTTATTGGATTTTGTTAAGTTTGTTGAATTTCAATTGTGCTAGTTCCTTTTTTTTTTTTTTGCTTTTTCGTTTTTATGAGAGTTGGTGACTTGGTGGTAATTTCTGGTAGATGTTTCAGCTGATGGGAGATGGTGCTACGTAGTTTTGTGGGTGGTGCATTAGTTGGGGAAATTTAAAAAACTGTCTTCTATTCCTTCTCCATTTTGCCTGTTGAAATTATTTTGCCTCAACCGAAAAGGAATGCTATATGGTAATTGCAGATGTTTTACTGAGAAAGATAAATATTCCAAGTCCTATTTGCTGGGAAAGATATAATCCATCAGTTTGTTGGTAAGGCAACTTTGAGGCATGGGAGCAGGCCTTGCAGTTTGTTTTCAACAATTAAATTAGCCGCTGCAATGAGTTGTGGCGATTATGGCCGAGATGAAAGGAAAATAGAGAAAAGCGGGAAGAAGAAAGGAAAAGAGGAAGAAGAGAGATCGGGGGAGAGAGAGAAATGTGAAGGAATCTGAGATAGTAAAGATTATTACTACTGCTATTTGTGTATTGTGAGATCGGGGAAGATGAACACTATTTTTCTCTCAATTGCCTAAATAATTATTATAAAAAAAATATGAGAATTAAAAAATATTGCAACGGTAAATTTCAATGAAAAACTAATAAAAGGGAGTCTTTATCTCACAGTCATAATAAAAAGGGGTTTTTGTCGCAAAACAAAATACAAGGGGTCTTTGTAATTTACCCCCAAAAAAGACACGATTCCGCGTATCCGCCGGAACATCTAACCATCTAAGCATCCTTCTAAAGTGCTGTGGAAAAAATGGCTTTTTATATCGGGTGGTAGGGTCAATAGGTTAAAACTTTCTTCTGGTCAAGGTTAATTTTTGTTATATTTTCATATAACAAAAAACCAGCCATCTGGTGTTGCCTCCAGTATTAGGTTATCTCTATGCGCGGATGTAACCAATCATCTGGTGTTCATCCAAATTGACGTGGATTTTTTGCATTTTAACAATTTTTTTTAGGGTTGCTACCTGATATACC